TTTGAGCCGAATCTTAGAACTTTTTCTTTTGAATTCGTTTTTACTGCATGAGAGTAACGTCATGAACTACAATCTGATCCAGATGCTTGGTGACACGAAAGTGTTCATCCGGTGTCAGATCTAGTTTGGGAGAGCAAAACAATCATAGGAGTGGAAACCTACCTATGGACGATTTGTGAATTAGGACGAGTCTTAAACATAATGCATCTCTTCTCTTCCAGGGTCAGAGTGGAAACCTACTGGTCAGGGTTGAGAGAGATAGTTGTCTATGATCACGACAGTGGCGTATTCATACGTCCGTGACTCCAGTTCGAAAAGTTTAAGCTAAGATCTTATCAAATTTACTCTCTAGCAATGTTTTGAATCGTTCGTACCCCTGAGAAAACTTCCCTGAACCCCAACGCCTTCTTTCCTATTGATTTACACCGTTTTTATTTCAAGCTTTAGTTCAATATTGTCTTTCCTTTTTAGTAGATTTTCATTTAAGCAATTAGAATATCCGTTTTTCTCATTTTTATTCATTTTCGTTAAGTTTAGTTATTAGGTCATTTAATTCCCGTATTTTCTTTTAAGATTTCATTTTTTACATTTTAAACACACTACCAAACCCCCCACAAAATCATTTTGGTTCTAGACTTCCTTACTTTATACTTATTTCAAAGGCTATTTGCAGGAAAAGATCCTCCTTCCCTGTGGATTCGATCCCTAAGTACTACAATCGATCAGCTGTGCACTTGCGGCTATTGATTTCATTTAGGGTAAAACTTGACAACCCTCACACACTCACCACCACAATCATTGAGTGAGCATAGCATTGAGGATTTGTAGCTGGTCCTCCGCGAGATTGGCTGGGACTAGGTCTTCTTCTTCTTCAAAGGTGGCTCCTTCATCCGCTTCAGAATTGGTAGCTTCAAACGCTGGAGAAGTTTGCTCTTCAGACATTGGAGAGGGTCGGTGATGAGAGTGTGTAGAGCTTCGTGGTTGAGGCGGCGGAGAGGTACGAGGTTGAGACCGTGGAGATTTGGCAGGTTCAGACTCTAAGCTCCGACGTTGACTCTGTGAGTGATGGAAAAGCTGATTAGGCGGTGGATAATCCCTCACCGAGACCGGAGATTTGGAAGTTCTCGCCGGAGTGAAATCGTACCGATTAGGAAGAGGGGATGGAGTTCTGGCTTGCGAAGAAGATGCACCACCTCTTCCTCCTCTTCCTCGTCCTCTCTTCCTTCCAGCGGCACCCATCTGCGATGAAATCGATTGTATCGATTAGGGTTAGGGGAAGAAGGGGTTTAGTCGATTAAATGGAGGGGAAACTGTTTTAGAGAAGAAATGAAATTGATTCAGAGAGAGGGGATTAGGGTTTCTTTCTCGAACAGAATTGATCGAAGGAGAAATTGGATCGACGGAGAAAGGGGATTAGGGTTGATTGAAGGAGAAAGGGGATTAGGGTTTCTTTCTCGACTGAAAAACACGAATGAGAAGAAATGGTTAAGTGTTTTACGTTTTGGGCTAGTTTTGGGTTTAATTACGTTTTTGTTTTTTTTTGGGCCTAATTGCGATCACAAATCAGTCGCTAATTACCGACTGGTAAATGTTAGTCGCTATATTAGTCGTTATTTGGTGATTACGTTACAACTGTTTATTTTAGTCGCTAATTAGCGACTACGTTGCGTCTGAAATCTATTAGTCTCTAACTAAAGGCAAATCAATCGCTAAATAGTCGGAACTAGTAACGACTAATTTTTCAGTCGCTAAATGTAGTCGCTAAATCCATGTTTTCTTGTAGTGACGTCATTAATTAAATTAGTTTCGTTTATCTAAAGCCTTAAACTGAGAAATGAATTATGTATAAATATCAAATTCTGTTCTTCGAAGAAGCATCTATATATGTAGAAATAGCTATACTAGGTGAATTTCCTTTATTAATTTTCTTTTTTGGTGTTAACAATCGTGATTCGTGTTACAGTACGAGCAACATAAAATAATTGTTTTTCGCACAACAAGTTTACAATTTTTATTTTTATTTTGATTATTGTTTTTCTTTCTTCTTTTTTTGCGAAAAAATTGTTTTCTTTTTTAAACAATGACAATTGACAAACATATGATTCTGTTGACTTCGTGACAATATTTCAACTGAGATAATATCTTTTATGTTTCTTGTTTTCTACAGGGTACAGATGAAAATAATTAATACCAACGGCGATGGTACCATAATGTTCAATGTATCTTTTACGAGATATAATTTATATACACGCTTGGTAGGTTTTGGAACGTAGAAAATGTCTATGCTGACTTTTGCCGTGATGATCCGTTGTTTTCATTTTTACGATAAAAATGTATATCCCACATGCTAAATATTGCTTTTGGTTATATAGTACTCCTAATATGTCTATGGATGAAACTAAACACTTGCAAATAGGTTCTCCAAGACTTATCCATGGCCAATTAAGACCGACTTCTTTTTGTTCCGTTAATATAGCTTTTGTAATGTCTAACTTCTAATTAAGGAAAAAAAAAACTTCTAATTAAGGGGTTTTTTTTTGTTGGCCAAACGCTCTGCATTTTTTGCCTTTTTAAAAAAATTGCAAATATTTCAACAGATAATGATTTACTGCAGCAGTAGTTGTAACTTTGGTTATAATTAAGTATTTTGAGTACAGCTTTGAAAGTAAGATTGTGATTTCGATATTAGAATATTCATCATCCATAGTCAATACTTTATTGATTTTTTGGGTGACCACAAACCGGTGCCTCAACAGGTAAGGTTGGGATTGCAAATAAGCATATGCATGGTTTACCAAAATGCAAAAACCCATAAGATCAGAGAGAATCAGATCTACGGAACACAATTAATTAGTTTTAGCTGTCCAAATACATTTAGATGATCAAATTAATTTGCTTGATATTTTTTGTCAGCAGATTCTACGAATCTAAACAAAACTTAAAAGGTTGAGTTTTACCAAAAAAAAAAAGAAAACAAATTAAAGACACCATAGTTTTAGCTAAAACTGTACACGTATTACGATATGAGTTACATGTAACTTATAAGCATCGCCATGTATATATTAAAACTAGTGTACGTGTATTTGTTAGGTGAATAATTTATATAAGCGCCTCGAGAATTACTTGTTTACAAAATCGTCTATATTATCAATTATTTGTATCATGGACCGTTGCTATTGTCTTATTTACTTAACTATCATTATAAAATGTAATCTATGTTACGTTTGCTTCTTAATTAACATTGTATTAAGATCATGGAACACATTTGGCCTAGCTTGTTTGACGAAGCGACCCGATCATGCAATACATTTGGCCTAGCTTTTTTTGTTTCTTTTTTTTCTTAACTAAAGAAATCAAGACTTTTGTGGACATATCACACATGGAAGACTATCGCAATGACATGTGTGATTTACAAAACGAAAATTCTTTACTAAAATATGTTTGTTTGTTGAGATTTTGTTTGGATCGTTGTTAATTAAATAAGACGAAGCCACTAAGAGCTAGTTCATGACCAAAAATAAGAATTTTCAATTAGTGGATAAGATTTGATTTCATAATATATCATTGAATATGGACTATATTGGTCCACCACGCCTTGACGTACTGGTGTCCTTCAATCTTTTTTGATTTGTTCGTGTCTACAAGAATAATTTCCTTAGGTTCCACAGTAATAAACTTTATTATATATATACATGGATAATTGTTTTATTTTACTTTACAATCTGCCAAAATGTTTCATTCTAATAGCTGTTTAAAAAAGTAAACGTGTTTCAGTCTATTGCGATATTTTGATGTCAATATATATTCGTAATTACCCGATTGAATGAATTATTCTATTCCAAAATCAAAACCATCACGATTTTCATGCAAACCATAAAAAGCTCGATGAAGGAACAGAGTGTGCCCAACCGAAGCGACAGCCAAAGCCTCAAGATATTTTGATGTGTTTTCTGTGGTGTTAATAGCTTGTTCTGTCATTTGTAGACACATGCACATAAAGTCTTGACAGGACGTAGGTACCTTTTTCATAGCAGGGATTTTTTTTGTTTATTTTTTGTATTTGTGCCTTATATATGGGTTTATCAACTGTTGTGTGATTTGGGGCCTCTACTATCATTTTGATCTTGCTCATGTTGCAGCTCTTAATACGGCTCATACTTGAGCAATACTGAAGGCAGATATTACGATTATCGGGCTTACTTTTAACATCCAGATAAAAACATCATGCTTAGGTGATAATGAAGGCTAACGATGATTATTACAAGTTTACTTAAACATCCAGAGGAAAGCAAAGCTTAAGAGTTTGATTAAAAATAAAAAGGCTTGCATTGAATCACAAGTTAAAAACATCAAAAGAGCTTCGTCCTCTCCAAAGAGAGAGAGAGAGAGAGAGAGAGAGAGAGAGAGAGAGAGAGAGAGAGAGAGAGAGAGAGAGAGAGAGAGAGAGATCTAGAGAGCTTTCTACACCGTAGTCTTCATAGACATCTCAGCTTCCCTGTACCTCTTGATAGCCTCCCTCCTCTTGGCCATCTCAGCTTCCTTCAACATCTTAACCCTCTCAGCAAAAAGACCTAAAATAATAACTATGAATTTATGAGAAATTATTACTTTGTTACAAAAAGAAGAATCAAGAATCAAGAACAAAAGCAGTATGTACCTAGGAAAGGAGAGCAAATAACTCGGGGTTGCTTGTCTTCTTTGGGTAAGTAACCAGCCTCAGCAACTATTTTGCATCCTAACATGTCACTTCCACACTAAGTGCCAGAGCCTTCTGTAGTGAGCCTTCTCCAAATATACAAACGGCAGCCTTGCTGTAAAGATCAACACAGACACATGTCTTAGTTTTAGCATTTAAAGAAAGAAAAAAATCACTAACACAAATTGGAGAAAGAATCGATATTTATTTGGGCCTTTTCACTTTAAGGACTACTATTTGGCGCATAATGTTTTCCGAAATTTATCGGCCCAAAATCAGTCCCTGGCTTGCTCTTCAAGCTCAACTGTTCTGATTACTGAAGCAGACAGATTCTGTGATTTTGGTTCTTGAGAAACTTGCAAAAATCCGATTCTGTATAATCAGTTTTTTTTGCTTCGTTCCGGGTTTCGATTCATGGAGTTTGTAATTGAAGAAGGAAAGCAAGTGCATGAAGAATGCTCGACTTTGATTCTCGTAAGTTGTTTGCTTTTCCGATTTCGATCTCTTCTCTCCTTCCGGGTATCTTTCCCCTTTGGATATTTCCTTCCTTAAAGCTTAAAAACTGTAGCTTTCTTGAGAATTTAGGTTGTTTTTGATGACAAGTAGCAGCTCTACTCAAGTTAGAAACTTCCCCCAACTTTCTAGGGAACTTTTGAAATTCTTCGAGAAAAACATGAGATTTATAGGGTTTAGATACACATTGACCTTCCTCATGAAAAAAAGTGTAGAGATTTCTAATTGAGGAACTAAATGGTTTTGTTTTTCGCACCAGCCTGCATTGTCAATTGGCAATGTGGGACAGCTAGCTGTTGATCTTCTAGTGTCATCTACTGGTGCAGAGAGAGTTGGTTATCTCGACGATCCAAATCTGCTTCCTTGTGTTGGAAATGACGCTTATGGCTCTCTTCCTTGCGGCGAAATCGCTCTTCCTCTCGAGGGTTCGTTTTCTCAAACTATGTGTTTCATTAAAGATTAGGCGTTGATGTAATGAGAGGAGCTATGTTTTATCTTCGAACATGGATTATCCTCTGGTTTATATGATCAAGGAGACTTCTTGTGATTGACTTGACCATATTATTGAATGGGGAAGCTATATAGAGACACTATTTTCTGTTGTATAGTTTGATGCGATAGATCAATGCCACTTTACATTGTTGAATCAGGCCTATTCTCTTTGTGAAACCTCAAAGGTTTTTATTCTCTTTGTGTGTTTTCAGTTTATGAGTCATCTTCAACTGCTACGACTCTTGCTCAGCAAAGGTCTCCAGTTGCAAAGGTATTACATTTTTGGAGGCAGCTTTGTTCCTCGTCATTTCCATGGTCCTGTTTTCTTCAGAATTTCGTTCAATGCTTGTTGTGTTGGAACTATGAAAAGCCAGTTAACTTGAGTTTTTTCCGTTAAAAAATTTGGGAATATTGTGAGACATTCTAAACTTATAATGTTGATCTAAAACAGGGAATGATGATTAAATTTGCGGAGAATATAGCCGATTTTGCTGCTTCGAGTGGAAAGAAGCATGTTATTGTGCTTTCGAGTTTAGACTTCCAACGGCTGCATAACTTAGATATGTCAAGGTAACTATAATGCCTCTGTTTCCATTTGTGTTTGCTATAAAAAGAAAAATTCATACGCCTTCAACATGGACTTGTGCAAACAACATCAGAGATTTGATAGATAATTGAGCTTCACTTGCACCTTTTTTTCTCTTTTATTACTAAGAACAAAGTCTTACAAGTTAATTTGTGTTCTTTTGGGCTATTACTTTAGAGGCCCACAGGTGTATTATCTGTCAAACGCTGAATCTGATGGAAGAGATGATCACTGTGAAAAGCTCGGATTTGGAAGATTGCACGAGTATGATTCAGAGGGAAGATGTTGGAAGTACCTTAGCTCTGTATTTGAGGAGAACGGTAAAGAAGAGCTGACTTTCCCTTCAGAAGATGAGCTCGAAGACATGGACTACTACCCAAGCTTGCCATTTGCAGCTCTTTTCTCAGCTTTTAAGGTAAATAAATGCCTTATGATAAAAATGATTAATCCACTTACCAACTTATTATGGACGTTTGAAACATTTACATGGCCTGCGTGGTTTATGTAAATGATTTAGGCAAGAGGCTTAAAAGTGACATGCCTCCTATGCTACTGCTCGGAAGGAGACAACATTCCTGATGCATTTCTTCTAGCGGAGGCTGCATCTAAGCTTACGGGTCTGAGTCCTGACAAGTTCCACGGTAAAAAAAGTTCTCATTCTTTCAAGGGTAATTACATCTCGAGCGATCAATCATGAGAGCCTAAATATGAAACTAATTATGGATATTCTTCTACAGGGGAAGAAGGTGGGAAATGGCGGATACCATATTCATGGAAGAGTATGTATGGAGCTCCTCCGGATATGTCCATGTTTTAAAGACTGTTATTGAAGCTCACAGATGTCGGACAGATAGTCTTAAAGTAAAATGATGATACAACGAGAAGTCTATGAACACTTGAGATAGTTTTGTAATCCGATAGAGACCTTTTTCTGGGGTTTTTTCAATCATCAAATCTGCTACTATAGATCAAACTTAACAAGTAATTGATTTCATTAATAGAATACCATGTCTCTAGGGATACTATCAAGAATCTTGTGCTCAATAGATAGATAGTCATGTAGATTTGCAATTTCGTATAAAGTCTGTAACATAAAATGTTTGGTGTTTAAAAGTGGAAGTCCCTCGGCCAGCTCCAGTTTTCTAAACCATGAGGATAAGAGACTAAACCAAAATCCGAACCGAATCTTAAACCCAACATCATTGTCTTAAACTCTCAAACCGGAATACATTAATGTATTTTATGACCGCTTATGCGTTTTCTGCGGGTGCAAACAAATAATTTCCATGAACAGTTATGTAGGAAATATCTCCGGGACTAAAAAGAAAGTAGTTGAGCATTAAATTCTGGAGTCATTGTGTTTTATTGTGTAGATAGGCCAAGCCAAGTACTCTCTGACCGGTTTTTAATTGCCCTTTATTGCCATCAGAAAAACCAATATTCATTTTTATATATATATATTTTTTTTTGGCTAAGGAGTTTTTGGATCTTGAAAGAACTGATGGGTGGGTGATTTAAACCTAACTTATGTACAAGTAAGTGGATTACTTCTTTCTTTGTTATCTTGAAGACTAGTACAAACCACAACGTATATATATTGAAAAGTTGCAGTCTTAGACTTTGACTATTATTTTCTTGATTCTTGAACTCTTTATCATATGAGTAGACCTGGGAATTCACATATGATGTAATTATTACACATTAAATTTACATGGAATTCATTTCCCACCAAATAAGCATAGGAATACTAGTAATTTTAGATAATGTATAAACAATGAGTCTACACAGTCTAGAAGAAGAAAAAGGAAGACATTGTAGTTGCATGTTTCTATTTTGTTGGCTTATCAGGCAGTATGAACAAAATAGAGATAAAGAAAGAAGAATTTTCAAAAAAGGCTTGGAGACAGCAACAATAAAAAAGAAAGTCATGAAAATCCACTTAAATAAAGTTCCCAAACCATTAGTATCAGAGTGGGTCACCACATCAAATCCACATTAAAATCAAACAACTCTAAAGGAGCATTAGCTTCTTCTTTTTTTTTATCCTCTCAAACTCCATACTGATAATTTCTTCTTCTTCTTCCTAGCTATATGATGATATTACAGTTTTTTATTTTATTTATTAGAACATTCATATCCCCAATTACCCAATTAGTACCTGAAGAATGTACAACATCTAAGTATCCTATCTAATTTAGACCAAAATACCTAATAAGACTCCACGATTGGATTGCTTCCAAATTTGCAATTATTTGATTAATTATGAATCATCTTGGATCGTCGTATTTGTTTGTATCAGACTAACCAAAAAAAAAAAAAACACAATGACGTGGCAATTAGTTTGCCCAATACAGTTTTACCATTAGTCAACTCTTTCCTTTTTTCTCCCGTAAGTCCCCAAATACTCATTTACGTTAAACCTTTCACTGGGAGCTCTGTTTTAGGCTCTTTCTTTGTTAGACCATTTTTGTTTAAATAGTTTTTTTTTACATAAATTACCAAACAACCATGCGATTCGCGGCACCACCGCCGCGTTCCGGCGATATCTCACCGTCTCCTTCACCGTCTTCTTCACCGGTTCCTTCACCGACTCCTTCACCGTCTTCAGGTTTATCTGAGGAGGTTCTTTCCCGATTCTCGGATCCTCCTTTGGAGTTTAGTCCTCCGTTGATCGCTATGGTGGTTGTTTTAGCCGCCGCTTTTCTCTTCGTCACCTACTCTCGCCTCATCTCCCGCCGTTTTCTTTCTCCTCTTTTCCGTCGTTTCCGTCGGTGGCGATGCCGTCGACGCCGTCTTCTTCACCTATCCTCAGCTTCCTCTGCTTCGACTTCATCCTCCGATCTCCGATCGTTTTCCCCTTTCCCTTTCGACTCTTTTCATTATTCCTCCTACTCGCCTTACGGATTAGATGATTCAGTAATCAAAACGCTTCCTCTGTTCCTTTACTCCGCCGCCGCTTGCACCGGGAAGAGCGTTTCCGCTGCTTCTGCGGTGGGTAAAACTTCCGCCGCCGTTGGAGATTGCCGAGACTGCGCCGTTTGTTTGTTGGAATTCGAGGAAGGAGATTACGTACGGACTCTTCCCTTATGCTTCCACGCTTTTCACCTTGAATGCATCGATGAGTGGCTCCGATCTCACCCTAACTGTCCGCTCTGCCGTACGGCGATTCTCGGATCCACGGCGACCGGCGTTTTGGCTCCTGTTTCGCCGTTCATCCCTCTCATGGCTCCTCGAATTCGTCCAAGCTTCGACGACGAGACCAACGCGATCACCATCCGCGGCGAAATTCCCCAGCGGAGCAATTGGAACACGATCGCTAATTCTGCGACGGCTGATCATGAGATCACAGCGTCGTTGGAAGAGCAATCACCGGTTATTTCTCGGTTTCGGGAGCTGAAGAGATCGTACTCCTTCGATTACGAGAGGGAAGAATCGGGGTCAGAGAGAGTGACGATGGAGCCAGCGACGGTTTCTCCGTGGAGATACCGGAGATCCACGTGGAATAAGCAGCGGCAATCTCCGTTCGGAAACCTGATATCGAAATCGAGAGTGTTCTCGTTTCGGTATTACAGAGGCGCGAAATCGCCGTTTTTCCGGCGGCGATCGGGGGTGTTTTTCCCGATATCGGAGCGGATTCCGGCGACGGGAAGCTCATCGCGGCGGACGAAATCGATGACGAGCCCGATGTTCTTCAGAACAGCGCCGCACTCGTCGAGCCGGCTAAGATGCGGAGATCCAGAGGCACTGTTATCGCCGGAGAGATGGAGGAGAGGGGACACGTGTAGGGTAGATATGTAGATGAAATTGAACGGTGGGGATGATAGGGAAAGAAAAAATGGAAGTGGAAGGAGAGAGCATTAATGGAATGTGGGGTTTAAAGCATTTAATGGAATTAAAATGGACGAAACAGAGAAAGATAGAAGCAAGAGATTCAGAAATGCTCAGCTGCTCTCATAACAACAAGGTCCTTTTATTTTATTTTATTTTGTTTTTCTCTGCTAAAATACGGATGCATTTATGAAATATAACTTATAAACAAGTCTTAAAATATTGTTTTGAATCTTATCTGATTAATAAAGTATTGTGTGTGCAGGTCTCTCTGTATAGATTGGGAGACGCCAAGACAGTGAAGGTAATGGAGCCTATACGACGACGGCTTGGCTGGTTTTTTTCCTTTTATTTTTTTTTTCTCTTGAAGCTATCAAATGCATTAACTTCCAAAGCTGCCAAAGTTATTATAGAAACGAAGTCAACAACACATTAAAATTTCGTTTCTGTAATAACTTTGAATCGTCGGTGGCTAATTAACTCTACTGTTGTTATTTTCTATGATACGGAATTTTATGTTTTCTCAGCTGTGTTTTGTTTTGTTCATACTGATTTTCTATGTAGCTGTCGATTAAGTTTGACCAAAAATAATTGATGATTTATTATTATCTCACTATGACATATGATGATAACATTTCAGAAGATGTGGATCTATTGCGTCATCTATGTCCTACAAAATGTACTAATCTCCAGTCTCCACAAGATTTTGTACTAATATAAAAAGTTAATGATAACCATTATAGATAATATATGGGAGCTAGGTCGTTTGGCCTCTTATAAATGAAATTTTTCTTCTCAGAATAAGAATTATTAATGTTAGCGGTTAAGTAGAGTAGTAAATTAGTTTGCAATATGATTATGATTCTAGTATGACAAAGGTATTATTCACACTTATTTTTCAAACGAACTTTCATATAAATATTTCTGGTTTCTTTTATTTTTTGGTAAATGGTAAACATCATAGATAGAAAAGTATTTTAGTTATAAGATCACGAAAGATACCAAATTGTTAGATGTTGTACATATAATTAGGCTAGCTGTGATAAATGATAATTGACTTATGTACCACTTTAAAATACATGCCAATCCAGCAATTCTGTACCGAAACTTTGTTCCCGGGAAGGCTGTTGTTTTTTTTTGGTACCATTTGAATAGTCACGTCTCATGTAACTAGGCCTAATATAAAGGCCATGCTTTCGTTTTTTTTTTAATGTTGCTGACAAAGCCCATATGTTCGGTTAATTGACTTAATTCGTAAATTTATATCTTAGTAAGAAAAGATAAGACGGCAAAATAAAACAAGGTATAGGGTTTTAAATCTTCAATCTTGAAAAGGAAGAAGACAGACATGTTTCCGGGAATGTTCATGCCATAGCCAGACATAGCCGTGGCTCTGAAGGAACTGAAGCACAACGCTGCTTTATTCGGCGGCTGGCTCGTCCTTATCCGTTTTGCTCCATACGTCCTTACATATTTCTATGGTTCCAAGGACGAGCTCAAGATCGACCTCTAAAAATTTGGATTAGAAATTAGGATTTTAGGCTCTTCCACTTAATTTTTGCTAATCGAGTCTTTTTTTTTATTTTTTACCTTTTGTGGCCTCAATGTTGTTAACTTGACTAAAACTTTGTATTTGTCTTTGTGTAGCAGTGAAGCAAGAAAGATGGATGTAGCGGTTTATTGATGATATGTGTTCTTTAGGATTTGTATGACAACACCGAGATATATATATATATATATATATATATATATATATTCAATTTGTTTTCTCTAAGTTCTCATGGATAACAGAGGTTTCAAGCATATGATCTTCTTACAGCTGGTTAGTTTGCTTTCCTGGAATGTGACTTCTTGTTTATTGGAGATCTATGAAAGTCTGATTTCTATGTTCTTTGAGTTTACAATTAAGCCTCAAACTATGCCCAAGAAATCAATTTTAATCTGTTGTAAGTTCTTGGTGTTCAATTCGATATAAAGATCTGCACTTATCACTTGAGTAGTTGAGTTGTAACCATAACATAATCTTCGTGGACAATCATAATTGAAAAAATTAGCATAATACAAGTTCTTCGATTCAACTCTCTCAGATCGAAAATTAAATTAGAAAAACAAAAAACTCGGTTCACGACTTTGATGTTTTCTTGTCAGAGAAGCAACCCGAATCTGAAATCATGTGCGACCCAATCGATGGCGAATCTTCCATGCTTCTTGTTCCGACACTGCTGGATTTTATTTCTTGCATCACAAGGCAGATAGTTCGAGATCATGTCGAGGATGCCGACGTGGCAAAGTTCAGTGTCCTTGGCATATAATTCCACGAGCTTCGGCAAAAGAATCTTATTGTCTTTGGAGATTCCTACGTTTGATTTTACATACTCTTCTCTACCACATTCTAGCTCCATCATCACGTTCTTTGGCGTATAGATACGCACCTAAAAAGAATCGTGTGTGTTTAAAACTTAATCCTTCATATACATAGCGTGTAACACAAGAAAAGATGTTTGAGTCGGGAGATTTTGCTTACTGATGGATCTGACAAGTTCCCAGAGCAGAGTGCGAAATGAAGAAGAGGCTCAGGGTGAGTTATAGCATAATCTTTACTCAAGTCTCCAGCTTTACCCTTTGATTTAGAAGTAAACAAGAACCTAAATACCTGCTAATAAGCAATTCCTTTCAGCCTTGTAATCAACTTGTAAAAGTCGCAATTATTTAGAACCGAAATCGATCTTAGACTTGCCTGTCCTGGACGAGAGACGCGGCAACGAAGTATTGAAGTCTGAATGGTATCTAAGTTCAAGCTTCGACCTCCAACATTATACGCTGCCTACATAACACAGTTGAAAAAAAACCCTAGACATTAATGACTTGTGTTCCAATTAGGAGCTGCACTTGTAAGTAAGATCACCCTACCTTCAGCAAACCAGATACCCTTTTCATACTGTTTTTTGGGTTCCCGTAGACAAGAATTGACTGCAAATATGTACAAAAAAGAAACACATGTTAACGTCTACCAAAAATTAATTATCAGAATGATTGACTCGAAAACTTAATTAGTTTATGAAGCATTACGTGCATAACCAAAGAGTTGTGTATGTTAATCCAGAAAGCTAGCTTCTCTTCATGATTCAACTTCCTTGGATTCACTCCCTCTAACTTGTTAACAAGCGACCTAAAGATTTAAATTGAAGAAGAACGATACGATTGATTAAATAACAGAGTTGATTTATATAAACCAAAAGAAGTTTGATTTTGTAAGAGCGTGAGCTTTAAAAGACCTGAAATGCTTTAAAGCAGGTTCAACTTCATTTAACTTCTCTGAGTCTCTACATATAGATTTCACCATTAATAGTTTGTCATAAGGGCTACTCGATTCTCGATCATCATGAGCGAGAGATTCTGGATCCGCGAGTTGACGAAATACTCCTGAGATGCACTTGATCAGCTCTTCAGACAAACTGTTTGCTGATTTAGAAACGTTTTCAGAAACATATGTCCCCATCATCGCATCGATATCAGCTTGCTGAAACCACCACAAAAAAAAAAAAAAAAATATGTATGTATAAACACCATTGCTAAAGAAAGACACTCCGTTTAACACAACTTCTTATACTTCAAGCATTGAGAAAGGAAGCGAGTGATGGTATGATGAGTCCATTGCTTGGGGAGACATTTTAAAGGAATAGCCTGAACAATGAGACAGCGATGAGTAGGTGCGGAATATTTCAGAGTCTTCTAGAACTTTCTTCGGGCTGCAGACTGCGTTTTTTGGTGAATCAATGAGCTTAGTAGACCCAAGAAGATCCTCGGATGATTTATCTTTCTCCTCTGATTCTAAGTTAAATGTGATTTTGTTGTTAAAGAATCTCCGGTATAACAGAAGAAGATATCTTTCCAAGTACATCACTTGCAGCTCCAAACCTGCGATTTCGCTCACCAGCTTCTTTGCTTCCTGAAACAAGAAACCATAAAGAACATTCCTCTTAAATCTCAGAGAAGATATTCAAAGGCTTACTTGTGTTCTAAGGTAGACAAATTAAGCTTAGTGTAGTTTTTTAATAACCTTGGGGATAGAAGAATCTTCGTTTCTACAGTCTTCTAAGAACAGTTTACGTCGAAGGACTGTCTCCATTTCACGACGTACTAAAATTTCATCTTCTTGAAGCAGCAAATCCATCTGCAAAGTAAAAAATTGATCTGAGATCTAGTTTGATTTTCTTGTAAATATATAACCGAAGAAATTGTTTAGAGAAAACTTTCTTAAAACCTCATAACTTGAGACGCTTTGGGGATGTAATTTTCTGGATTTCACAAGAGATTTTAGCTGTTCTATCTCTCTCTGCAACGTTTGATCCTAAAGAACAAAAAATTATCTTGAATTGATGAACAGAGGATGAAGAAAAGGCTTTAACAAAAAATGAAAAGGAAATTTGAAGATTCTGACTATGTGAAATCGATCGATGTTGTAAATGGCTTCACTTGATTTCTTGTTCTTGAAAGATTTTCTAGGAACCGGATCGCTGGAAAAATGTCGGAAATAGCATAAGCTTGTTAAGACAGGATTATTAAATCAAACATAAAGTAATGAAGAAGAAGAGACAGAACCTTCTAGAACGTTTGTGAATCGAAGTTGTTGGAGTCATGAGTATCTGAAGAGTTTTCTCCTGTGAAAAACTTGAAAAATCCCCCGCCTAATATTATTTCTATAGAGGTTGGTGATGTGGAAAAATCAGAAGTAAAAATGACCCAAGAGCTGAAAATCACTGAAACAAAGCATTAAATGAGAGATATAAACAATTAGATAGCGACAACAAGAAAATAAAGTTTACAGAAGAAGAAGAAAGGAAAGGTTAAAGAACAGAAGGGAAATTTGCAGTGAATAGCATTATACCACAAATGGAATGAGACTACTCACTAGAAATAAGAATCATGTACCGAATTTTTTTCCCAAAAAAAAAGAATTTATTAAATTGAAAAATGTAAAAACAATTATTTAACTATTTGAGACTAATTTTCATCTGTTATTTTACCTTAAGCTTCTTTGGGTTAAGGTAAAAGAAATATATACACACATATCCAAAATTTTCTTTAAATAAGTAGTAAAATAATTTATCGAAAATATAGTTATAGTATCGTAAATAAATGTTTACGGCCAAACGAAAAAAAAAAACATAAAAGAAAATATCATGCGACGAAGAATTGGAGGAACAAATTTCTTGCATGTATAGAATATGAGTTTTAGTTCTTACAGAATTTCTTCGTAAGAACCATATTGTGAACTTACAGAATTTTTACAGAAGTTAATTCTGTATATAACTACTTGTGATCTTTGTAAAAACCATATTGTGAACTAAACTAAACCCAAAACAAACTCTTGATTTTGTTAATCACACCAACTAATTCCAATGCTTTTGGTACAAACATCACACAAGTTACTTTGTGACTTAACATACTTTCGAAAGCCCACACTCAGCTCTTCATTTTAGCTTCCTTATGAGTTTCGTAATTCCCATGATACACCTCCTTTTTGCTTCTGTTTTGACCATGAACATCCAACATTTCTGTTAAATACGAGTATTTTGTGAATAATACATACAACTATTTAAATATATATCGTCAAATTCCCATTTGTATATGTTTCGTTGTCGGATAAAACCATTTGCATAATCATTATAGAAATAATATGGCTATCAATGAATTTCATGATTCATATTGACCAGTCCGATCTTGGAAAGAAACATGCCTTTGATTGAAACACTTCCTAATAAAATAATCTTAAAAATGTAAACAAATTATGTGTCTCTTTTCGGGTAATTGCATCAAAAGAAACAAACAATATGTAATTATTGGTTTGACATCGGGTCTGATGTTTTGTAAAGGCTACTTTTTTATGCAAACAAATATCAGAAAGGACAACTTACAAATAGGAGATTCACTGTTTTGTGTATGTGAAGTTCTAATGTTGATTCATCTTTTGTATGATAATCTTTAACCAAAAAAAAAGAAGTCTTTTGTATGATAATATTAGTTCTTTCTTATACTGGATTTCCTTTTCGCTAGATTCAAAACTATTTGGAGCATGACTGTGTTTTCGTGCTATTTATCTATTTATTCTATTCATGATACATTACAAGGATTATGAATTATTATTTTTATATGGACATAACAATAAACTTAGATAGACCGTAGTATTTTTGGAGGGAGAGCTATTAACTTCTATTTAAATTTAGTTCTAAGTGATTTTATACATATGGTTGGCCATTTATACTAGTCAAGTGGATCATGTCTATAAGCTCCACTAAGTTCAAATTTGGTAATGGCAATTCACGAATATATAAGAAACAAAAACAAAATTCTTTTGACAAAGCATTATCCGCAAGAGTAACTAATGGTAAATGACAAAAGGTCTTTTTGGTGGGTGTCTTTTGATTAAAGAGGTGCATGGAGTGGCAAGCACTTGATTGAAATGGTAAAGGAAAGCCTTAAAAGCGATGAAAGGTGAGAAGCTGCAATACCTTTTTCTATAAGAAATCTACCATACGTTACTTAGAGAATTAGAGATGCATATAAATATATCCCCGTACATCTTTGAAAGATAAATATAAGTACTCATATTCAATATAGTGACAAACTAGTCTTCAATTCAATAGCCAAGGTCACATGTACAGTACAACACAACATTAATAAATAAATATTCACAAAATGTTGTTAGAGATGGTTTTGTTTGTACGTGTTAAACATAACTTCAAATGTTTTCAGGGTTTTATTTATCGATCGCCACTTCATGATATAACAAAAATCAACCTTTTGTGAACAAAATCAAAATAAAAGGAAGAGAATCCAAGAGAAGTGATTAGGTTATAGAAGAAGATTCATATTTTGGGATTGTGTTCTTCGTTTGTGGTTTCCTAAGTTTCTGTTCCGTAGTTTTCTCTCCGAGACGTAAGGCGACAACTCTATTTTGTCTTCTTGTCTCGATTGCCTCATTTTGAACACAAACTAAATCCCAAGTGTATTGACTCTTCTTACCATGCCCATAGTAATTTAGTACTCCTAGGAATCGTTATAATTAAAAATATGTTTCTCTCATGGACGTAACAAATGGGTTATCAAATATATGTGAGAGGGAAACAAATGGGTAATCAAATATGAGTACATTGAACAGAAGAAAAATGTACAACTCAGAAGGCAAGATAAATGTTGTATTACTCTACGAATAAGCTCACTGATTCATGCCTGCAAAACTGAATTGCCCCATACTCTCTCTAGATTTTTTATGAGAATCTGAAGTTTAGAAGAAGAAGAAGCTCCAGGGTTTAAGGCCAATTCGTCTCACACATAACTAACTAATGATTGATGACTGGAGATGGAAGAGGTGATGTTGGAGGCTTCATGTCCTCGTACCTGCAAACATATGAAGTTCTCACATAAAAAGAAGTGATAAACAATGAACACACTTAGAGCCAAGATGCTTTCTCTCACATTGTGTAAGGTGATAAAGGCCTTGGCTTTGGCTGATCAGTTGCATTGTCTTCTGAAGTAACGGAAGTGTCTGTCACATTGTTGACAGTTGCTGCTTCTGATACAGAAGGAGTCGTGTTCCTGCACAAACAACAATAAAAAAATGAGATTGTATAGAACGATTCTTTAAACTAGGCACACTTTAAATCTAATTTTTAGATACTTACACACTACCATCAACTGTATCCAGCACATCATTGCCTCCCTGCAACTCTGAGTTTCCTTCAGTAGATGCTGTTTTCTCAGATGCCGTTTCCTTGGGACCGGTTGATCCAGGACTTGGCGAGGTTGGTGGTTTAAGGTCTGCGTAACTGCAAAACACAGTGAAAATTCATTGAAAAAAAAAGAGCACAAGCGGATTATATATAGAGAGGGAAAAAAAATCAACAGAAGAGGAAATTTTGTTACACTGCATAAGGAGAAAGAGGTCTCATTTTTGGTGTGGCTGGTGCTTCTGTCTCAGTGACACTTGCTGCAACTGTTGAGATTTTACCAGTATCAGAATCGGTTGGACCAGGCGACAAAGAATCGCTCTTGGGGGTACCCGAAGCTTTAGGAGAAGGAGAAGAAGGTGGTTTTAGATTGTCATAGCTGCATAGCAATACAGCCAAGTGAAAAAGCAATACATTTTTGTTAGTCTAACTGTGATGATACCAATAGAATCTCCTAGCCACACATAAGGTTGTTACCGTGCATAAGGGGAAAGAGGCCTCTCTTTCTTTTCCTCGGCTTGCTTCACTTCTTCTTCTTCTTCTACTGCGACATTTGAGATATTATCTGGTAGCGGAACTACATTGGTCTCAACAGGAACCTCTACGGCATCTACCTCCTTAGATTTGGTGGCACCAAGTGATGTGGTCGAAGTTGGAATAGGAGATGTTGGAGGTTTCAAGTCTTCATAGCTAATACATATTCACAAAACCAAAAAAAGAAACAAGGGACATCGGAAACAATCAGTGTCATGTCAAGAAGTCAGTTTAGTTACATGTTCGATTTTTTTGCCTTTGAGGAAAAAGTTGTCTTACGCAGCATAAGGAGACAGCGGCCTAGGTTTCACATCTTTTACTTTGGCAGGTGCTTCATTCTCCTTGGGAGCTGTTGGTTCTTGCGTGGCAGGCTTAGCAGGGACTGGTGTGACCTCTTTGGCTGCAACTGATTCCTGTCAGCGATCAAAATGCAGAGATAAAGATGACCAATCTTATCACAGGAGAGCGATAAACAAGATTAGAAAAAGAGAGGAGAAGAGCGCAAAATATGACCTTTGGTGGAGGCACGTAAAGACGTTTCGAAGGGATCTTTTCAAGAAGCTTTTCAATTGGTGTTAATGGTGCAGTTGTTTCAGCAACTACTTCCACAATCTTAGAGAAAGAAAGTTGAGGATTCTTTGCCATACAAGCGAGCAATTCTGCAACCTGGAGATCAGTAGCAAGGAAGCAAAAAGAAAAACAATTCAAAGCTCTTCTTCATAAGGTGGTCATATCACTGTGTCATAGACAAGGGAAAAAAAATTAATACCTGGAGATTTGAGACCTGACCACCAAACAATGTATCGTCTAGAGCAAGAGTGAGATTATGAGTTTCCTTGTATGCATCAGTGGGTCTCTCCATTCCTCCAGGCCTAACTATCTGAAGAATCAAGATGGAAAGACAAAATTCTAAGGTATGATACAATCTATGAAAGTGTTAAGTTTTTGGTGTTTAAAGATATTCTGTGAATCACTCACTGCGTAATTGAGACCGCTTGCAATCAACGCTTCTTCAGCTTTTCTCTTCCAGCAAAGAACTCCCCAGAATAGGCTTCAAAAACAAGATGTTTAGAAGAAGTCATATTACAAGCACATGCCATTAAGTTTTATGAGCTGATCTCTGACCAAAAGTGTGTAATTAAAAAGAAAAAAATTACAGACTTACTTGAGAATCGCAGCAGGAAATCCAAATTTATTTGTCCCCAAGGATGTCACCAAAATGAAGTTATTAACTTTTGCAGATGATGCTGCTCACAATACCACAAAGAGGCAATAATATGATGAAACAAGAAACAGAGAATGGCAAAATAAACCGTTTTGAGTGTAATTTTTGCGTACCAGCATCAACAAGGTTTTTGGTGGCCAAGTAATCGATCCTGTAAGGGCCGGTAATATCGGAGATTTCTTTCTCGCTAGCACCGATACAGCATATAACCACGGATGCATTTCCTAATGCAGGCTGTATTGAATCTTTCTTCTCCAAGTCACATTCCACAATTTCAAGCTTTTCTACAGCTGGGCTAAAGACACAGACACTGCCTGTTACTTTTCTTGTACCATCAAAAAAATATCATTGTTATAATAAATCAAAACGTTATCTTCTTACGTTGAGTTCCTTCATCTGTGTTCTGGAGCTTCATTTCCTTAACACTCTGCAAAGTATTAACATCACTTAAAATGATAAAAAAAAATGGACTTTATAACAAAATACTCATTGTTCATTATATACTTGCACAAGACTTGCTGCTCGCTGAGCGCTTCGAACTCCAGCTCTAACTCGAAATCCGAGCTTCAGTAGCTCTCTGAATGAAAGAGGACTCTTAAACCAACCAGCATTGCGGAAAAATTATTCTTCTTCAAGCTTAAACGAAACAAGAAACTAACCTCACAGTTCTAGAACCAACTTTACCAGTAGCACCAGCGACAAAGACAAGGTCTTCTTCCTTGGATCCTATGTTCGTAGGGTTTGCGTCTGTTACCGCAGAGCTTGCTTTAATGGGACCTTTGTTCAATTACAAGGTAAATAAACTAATTAATTAACAAAACTGTTTTAATGCAACGACTTTTATTTGAAACTAGAAATTGAAGAAGACCACATTACATAAACCATTAGCAACAACTATTTGAGAGACAGACATAGAAATCATAATCAAAAGAGACACATTTCGGAGAGAAGCAGCCACAAAAGTTGAGAATTTCGACAGAAGCTTGAGCAAACTGACCTGAAGCTCTGATGCGAAGATCGAAAAACCTCGACTTGACAGAATCCGAGTGGTTCTTTAGACCTGAAAACCTGACAATCCGATTGTTCTTCAATCCACGGAGAAGGAACCGTTGTCTGGGAAGAGAGGGTAATGTTGTTAGAGGTTGCCCTCGGAGAAAACTAGTTCCTTCCATTGTTAGAGAAGGCTGAGTTAGTGTTTGTTTCTTGACTATGCTAGTCTCTACACCATTAACCGAAAATTTTTCTATAAAAATTTTCTGGATGAGAGAGAGACGAGGAGTTCTGCCACTGCATCCTGATATGATGGGACCTACATAACATCATAAGAGACCAATCAAAATGTTTGATGGAATGCTGACATGGCAAGGTTGATTCTATTCGGTTTATAACATTTGAATATGATATTTCTAAGGATAAAATATATAATATTGTTTCACGTCTTTCATTTACTACTACTACTCTTGATGATTATTTAGAGATTTAGTCAGAGGTTTCTGGTTAGTGTTATCTTGTTTTCAAGATTAAAAACACCTGCTCTGCATCATGATTTCCTTGACTTGCTTGAACATTTTTTGGTTAGCTAGAAACTGATTAAGATACTTACTAGATGCGTTTTCTCTATGGCTGTATTCAAAATCCCGAATACCAAACCTGAACAAAATTCTAATATGGTTATAACGAATTTACCTACCTGTATGATGGGACGACCTACATAACATCATAAGGGACCCATCATTGTACGATGGTGTTAGTGAGTGGCTACGATGCGAACATGTCAGGGCTGATTCGATTCAGTTCGGCTAGAGTTTCAAACCAAAATTGTTTCATTTTACACAATTTTATACATTTAGTCAACTTTGTGGTTGCTTTACACTAACTTGTAACGTTAAGGAGAATAGCCAGCCGCACAACGGTTTCTAAACAAACAAAAAATGGAAAATTGAAATGCCCAACAAGCTATATTGCCACAGAGTGTCTTATAGACCCTCTATCAACAGTCAAATGTCAGATTACTTTATTTTCAGAAACATCAAATTCTTCAAGACAGAAACTAGCTATCTTTATAAAGTTACCAAAAGGAAACTACACTGAACTTGTGCAAGTGAAACTCAACGACAATACAAGTCTGAAAATACAGTTAACGCACAAAGAGACTTGGTTAAATCACCTTAAGAAGACGAGACAGGAGGAATCGAAGGCTGCTCAGGAGCTTTTGCAGCTGAGAAATTGAGAGCTGCAGCAGCAGCAGCCTGGGGAGAATATATTCGAGCTTTCTTTATGATTTCAGAAACAATCCAATGCTTATGCTTGCTCAATGGCCTTGAAGGATCCAATTTCACCTGTATTATTTAAACAAAATCAAAAGTTCCTTTTAGGAGCAATTTGTAATAATTATCAACAAATGGATAGGTCTACTTCCAATTCGTGGTAATCATCAATAAGATCGATTAAGATGCAAGCTTCACTAGATTTTTCGAGCTCTTGATCAAAATGTATCTCAGATTCACTAAAACAAAAAAGTCAAAGATCAATGGAATTACTCGATCGCCAATGTTACAGGCGTCCTTCTCGTCGTGAGCCATGAACTTGGAAGTACGCTTGACGTAGCGATTGTAGAGCTTGTTGTGGAATAGCCTATCGACGGCGACCACCACAGACTTCTGCATCTTGTTCGACACCACAGTGCCTATTACTGGCTTCATTTTCGGCGCGAAGAGAAATCACGGACTCAACAAGCTCTCGATTTTGAGAATCTGAAGATCGAAGAAGACGAGAGAATGCCAACTCAAGTTGCTCGTCTAGGTTTGTATAATGATGGGCTTTGATTTAGCCCAATATACTACGGTCCCGGTTCAGTTCCGGTACAAAACTAATATTTGGTTTATTTGCAGAGATATTAAAAAGGAACCGGGATGAGGAGAAACAAGTGAGGAAATCAAATGGCTAATTCATCTGTCATTTCTTCACTTCGTCTTCAACCTCTATCCTCATTCTCGTCGTCTTCCTCTCCTCCTCCATACTCTAGACCTCTCTATCTCAAATTCCACACCTCTCACCGGGAAAATCTAAGATACCTCTCTACCCTCGGGGTAATTCCTCAGAACCCCCGTCTTGCCCCTCCAGCGGACAACCTTCCCGCTATCCTCTCCGCCGTGAACTTCCTAAAATCAAAGGGAATCTCCGACCAAGATTTCCCACGCCTCGTCTTCCTCTGTCCCCAGCTCTTCTCTCCCACTTTCGACATATCCAGAATCGATCCCGTCTTCGATTTTCTCACCCTTGAGCTCGGAGCTTCCGCCGCGGAATCCAGAGGACTGATCGTGAATTGCCCGAACATCCTCCTCTCCGACGTCGAGTACTGCTTGAGGCCGACGCTGGTTTACCTTCGGGAGCTAGGCCTGCAGAATCTGAACCGAGCGAGCAAGACGAACGCTCACGTGCTTAACACGAGGGTGGAGAAGCTAAGAGCTAAGATGAGATTCCTCAAGAGCATAGGGTTCCAAAACGAGGAAGCAGCTAGAGTCTGCGGGAGAATCCCGGCGATATTCGGATATAGTATCGAAGATAACTTGAGGCCCAAGTTCGAGTTTCTCGTTTACGACATGGAAAGAGAATTAGAAGAGCTCAAGAAGTTTCCGCAGTATTTCGGGTTTAGCTTGGGGAAGAGGATAAAGCCAAGACACTGGCATTTGAAGAAGAAGAACGTTAGGGTTTCGCTTAGTAGAATGCTCATGTGGGGTGACCTCAAATTCTACTCCAAATGGAAACCATAAAAACAGAACAGAGAGTCTCTTAGTCTTTCCTCTGTTTCAATCTAACTGTTAAATATTCAAATCAATTTGAAGCTCTCTGCTAGAAAATTTTGCATTGCGTTTCAAAGGAAAAGAGAATACAAATCATATGAAACTGTTAAGGATGGAATTTAGCTCTCAAGGCTGACGAATTAGAAGATCGATATCCGCACCAACTTCTGCAATCTTGGCTTCCTTCGACGCCTTTGCCGATTTCGCAATGCTCTCAACATCAAAATCTATCGCTATCTTCTTCACTAGGCCTTCAAGCATCTGTCATTACAGAAAACACATACACCGATAAAAAATAATGTAACAATCAAGCATTATACATAAAAGGAACAGCTCTAGTGGTTTGGGAACTAACCAGAGAGCCAATTGCTACCAAACTCCGGAACTTGGAATCAACATCTGCAGCTTCCTCTTCTGCAATCTGTTTCAAACTTTCATCTTTTTAGCACGGAGGTGATAATACGATATTCGTTCTAAGAGATTTTCAGGAAACTCTTTGGTACATTGGTTCTCTCAGATTTTACTTTTATCTCAGAGATTTGTTCAAGTGATAAAGAGTGACTACAACAGATGAGATCAAATTCAGTGGTGAGATATGAATGTGGATATATCCACGATGGTGAAAATGACCAATTTTGGGCTTACTTGCAATGCTGCTGAAAGGGCTTGAGCTTGGCCTTCTTGATCCTTCTTTTCAATTAATAGCACTGCATAGCTGCAAAAAAAAAACATAGACCATGATGTTGATGTTCTGTCTCTGATAAAAACTCAATAGTGAGTATTATTGATGATAGCTACGATTTGGCATGACTCCACATGAAACAAAAGTAATATAAGAGAGATCTTACTTGAGAAGCAACGTCGAATAAGCCAACTGCAGATTCTTATTTGGGGATGAATAACAGTTTGAGAAGGCATCAAGAATCTGCATTGATAAACAGCACTTAATAAAAAGGCTGAGTACCCGAGAAACCACAAATGTATAGGGACCAGTAAAAAGTAATAAACAACTTCATTTTAGTTCCCAGACGCAGCTCAGCCACAGATACTAGACACAGAATCCAAAAATTCCACCTCAAAGGCTGAGAGTCATGGCTAAACCAATAATAGGTTCATCAAGACTATCACAGACTCTAAATATGATATAAAACCGTGGAAACGAAATTGTACTTACTTGACTATGATGCCTCTGTAGCCAGTAATGAAATGAGGAATTCTTGAATAGATTAACCAGGACACGAACTGTTGTTAGAAGATTTGCAGGAAGAGCCGAATCTCCTGTGACTTTCTTTATCAAATCCAAAAGCAGGTCTGGTTGAATCCAATGTAACAGAGAGATACAAATTAAATTAAGGACATTAGCTGATACTTTAATTCATGTTGAGAAACCATAGCTTCACGTGAGAGATGATTACCATTGTTGTTTTCCATATGCTTAATGAGTAGACTTGCTCCATGAGGATGCAAAACGAGCATCCTGACTATATCAGTAGCTGCATATTCAAAAACCATAAGCATAAGAGCTCGAACCAAAAGCAAAACATAAGGCTATATCAAACAATTGACACAGAATTATAAAGGGGCTGGAAAAGGGAAAATGCGTTATGGCCTGCCAGAAACATCAAGAGAAACAGAAACCAAGAATATTATCTAAATAAACCAAGACATACACATCGTAGATTGTTATACAAGCATATTGGAATCAACTGATTTTGTTATGGCTTCATAATAGTGAGAAACATACGGTTACAACCAAAAGCTCAATATTGAATAAACAGTTTTCTTTGGCTAATTGATTGACATGAGAAGGCGTACCAGGAAACATCATTGCAGGTGGCCATGCCTGTAGCACTTTCAAAAGCAAAGTAATGTCCATGTCAGCAAAACTGGTAGAGTGGTAATGTGATGTGTCCTTGAGTATTTTAACGATTGCTCCTACTCTAGATACTTCGACTTCTGTCAGGGAACTGTCATTATTTACCTTCAAAAGATGGAAAATTTTCAAAAGCATATATTACCAACACTAGTATTGGGTGCAACTGTAGTCATGTGCCAGAAGTTAGTACTGAGAGAGCTTACTGGGTCAGATCGCAATGTATTGTTGAACTCTGTCATCTTTTTCAGAATCCCGTCATATTGAGCAACATCGAAAACTAGCACACCTTTCTGGAGAAAACAATGGAAGCAAAAAGGATCAATAGCTAGAAAAACCAAACATGAATAAAGTAAGAATAAAGAATTCATGCATACTTTTGGAATGTGCTTGTATAAAGGTTTTGCCGGAGTTGCTGCAACAGAAAAGAGTCAAAGTGCATGAGCCAACAGAAGACTGTTCGAGAAACTAAAATCCCTAATGAAATTTAAGTAATATGTGAAAATAATTTAGACGATATATTCATACCAGCTGTGTGAGATGCTTGCCCAGGAACATAAGCATTTGCTGTTACACAAGGAAGGAAAAAATGAAAATTTAATAAATTCCCGAAAACAGAATTTAATACCAAATAGTTTCAAAAACATGTGATTTTTACCGCCCGTGAAGGGATCACGAAAAGATGGATTAAAGTTGAAGTCTTTCTGCCCAGAATTTTGTAATATAAATTCAACAATCTGCTGTCGATATGCAAAGGGAAGATTCTCTTTTAGAAGCCACTTGTCAGCTGCATCATAAGGATTGTCTGCCAAACAAGAAAACATGTGAAGAGTAATAAATTGAAGCACTTTCTTGTAATTTCACTTGGAACTGAAAGAAGGCCAGCAACACAGTTTAGGTACCTGATCGATTGTAAGGTAGCTTCCGGATAGGTTCCCCGTCACCAATGTCAACATCGAAAACTAGAAGAAAAAAAACGGTCAAGAATGTTGTTCACTTTGATCTTATATGATTCTGAAGTTTCCATAATAATAGGTTAAAATCCTAACCAAAATCATACTGAAACCCATCGAGGATTGGACGGTCAGCCACACCATCTGGACCATCAACAACCTCACCAATCTGAAAAAAAAAGGTGACATGAGACCACAGGTTAGAGACAAATCACTCTACCACAAGTTATGTGTATATTCATGTATGCGATCTAGTCAATAATAAAGCAGCATTCAGATCAAGAACAAAAATGGCATGCGGTGAAGTAACCAACAGACGAAAAAGGTTAAGAACAAAAAAAAAGATAAAAGTTCATTCACTTACTTTGTCCCATTTCTGTTCGTTCATATTCCATGCATAAGCAACACCATTGTCTCCCTCCCTTATGACTTTTGTCTGGCCATCACTGGTACCTGAGAGAATAGTAGAAGATGTTACAAGAATGACCATAGCCAGACGGTATCAATTCCAACTGGGAAATTATTTCTGTGATCTCTTAAGATTTCTTTTAAAATTGAGGCTTTCTACCGGATGATAAAAGTTAATAATACAGCATTTGGAATTTAGTGGCACCTGGTATCGTCAGCGCATCAAGTCCCGGCAGCTCGTCAAGTTTCATTCCTCCAACCTTTTTCCTGAGATAAAGAATGGCATGCAATTAATATACTTTTCAGTAACTTTTTGAGCATAATAGACACAAAATACACTGTCAACAGATCATATAGTAAAAAATCATGAAACTGCCACGTGAAAAAAAAACTTATGGACATAGGATTTAATAGTCAGATTACCTGCTTAATTTGTACTGAGAAATTTGGGAATCATAGGCATCAATCTCCATCTGATCTGCAATCATGTCATTGCGTGCTGTCCAAACACGAACTACCCCGTCCGAGCATGCAGTCACAATATCTCCAGTCTCCAAGAACTTGGCATCCCAGACACAGCCTGGATGTTCCAAACTCTGAACGCATACTCCATCTGTAGCAGACAATATCAACAAAGTAAGAACAACATATCAATTCATAAGAAACAAACAGACATGATTTAAAACCAAAAGAGAGAAAAGGAAAACCATGATCACCATTCCATATCTTAGCATAGCGATCTTCGCTGCCACTAACAATAAGGCCAGATGCATGTGCGTCAACTGAATACACAATGGAAGTGTGGCCAACCATCTCCAGAAGAACTTCGCCACTTAGAGCCCATAACCTGATTGAGCTGTTTAGATAAAACGAAAATAGAGATTACTACCAAGATGAACAAAATATATAACCACCGGATCACAAAACTTATCCAGGTAATGCAAGAGACCATGGATGAGCGTGATTTACTTGGAAAACGGCAATAAGTAAGGCAAGCGGCTGATGGAAGCAAAGAACTTACCCATCATGTGATGCTGAAAGAAATCCTAAATCAGGCATCACTGCTAACCCTCTAACAGTATCTGCATTGCAAAATAAAAGTAAAATTATAAGACAATAGTTTCTCCAATGAAAAGCTTCTCGTATTGACAAAGAAATTTGAGACAAAAGGAAAAGTTAGAGAGACATGAAGAAATTCACCTGCATGCCCTGTCAAAGTTCGCAGCATTGTTTTTCCCTTCCAGAGTTTTAGAGTGGTGTCACTTGAACCTGGTAGCAGGATAAGTAACGTGCTAGTTGAGAGTTTCAGGATAAGTAAAGTCAATGCATATTATGATCAACCTAAAAAACATTAAGCTTATTTGGAGAACGATGAAACAAGAAGGAAAAACAATTGAACAAGGAAGAACTTGAAATCAAGAAAACGACAGAAAACAAGAAACAATTTTCAGCTTTAGCCAGATGATGTACCTGAAACGAGCTCACCAGATGGCAGCTTTATGACTGCCTGGACAGGCGACTGGTGTGCCTCCCAAGATTCAACAAGCTGGCCGTTTCTCCAGCGTTTCAGAGTTCTACAGAATAAATATATAAAAAGTCAAATGAGAAATTAAGCTACGTCAAGACAATACTGCACACAGTTAAGACTCATAATTACCCTCAGAACTACGACTAAGAATAACTTAGTATCCCATAAGGAAACCCACAGGCTAATACACTCACTGGATTTTAAGCAAGAAATTGACTGAACAGTTGGTAAGCATTATACTAAGAAAAATATGTGAACAGGAGGACTTACTGATCAACTGAAGATGAAACTATGTCCTCATTATCAAGAGTAACACCAGTGACTTGCATCTTATGACCCTTCAATGTCTGAATAATCTCTCCATTAATCAAGTTCCAAACGAAAACGGAAGTATCCATGCTCCCAGAGACGAGTCTGCCTTCAGGGTATTCCTCATTCGGTGGAATCCATGCAAGGGGTCCAACAAAGCTTGTATGACCCAACAAAATTTTAGAAGATGAATACTTGCGCTTATCAGAATCCAGTGACCATACCCTGATGGTTCTATCTCTTGATGAGCTAGCTATATTCTCATCAGTGCACACGCATATTCCACGAACCTGATTAACAATTGCAGTTTTGCATTAGCTCAATCGCATAAGGTACAAACCCAGCATCTAAATAGTAATGCCATTTGACACGCAAGATTAAACATCCATAAGAAACAACTCTAAAATTCAGTACCCAGCATCTAAATATCTCTGGAATTTCAACGCAACCCACATCCCCGTGGGAGATTTGAACTACTACAAAATCTAATCATAACAAAGCCTCACGCTAATTATCAAATCCGCACATGAAACTGAAGCAGAATCGCATGTAAATTCACATCAGGCGGGTGATTTTAGAAAATTCAACAAGGCCGAAGAAAGAAGTTGGAATCACGGAGCTGAATTATGCTAACACCTTCCAAAGTTTCGAAATCTAGAGAAAGAATCGATCACTAAAACAAGAAAACACAGTAAAGAAAGAAGTGGATTTCGTCTTACATCATCATCGTGGCCGCGAATCTCGCACCTGAGCTTGTACTCATTGAAATCGATATCCATGATGACTGAGAACGAGCAGCAAATTGAGAAGACCAAACGGTTAAAGAAGAGCGACTCAAAAAGTGACTTGCGGGAGGAGGAAGACTGGGAGAGAAGGAGAGGGATCTTAATCTCTCATAAACTTCCGAAAGAAAAAAAAGGATATTTTTAAAAAATATAAGAGTGTAGTTATTTACTTTTATGTCCAACTTAACACATCTCTTTCATTTTTCTCGCCAACATTCATTGGGCCCAGCGACTTATGGGCTTTACAAACCCGACCCAGTTTAGATACTGGTTTGTTTTCTTTTTCAATTTCTTAAAAAATAGAATAATTGATATGAACACTTGAACAGCATTGGTGACGTTGTAGAATTTAATATATACGAAAAAGGAGGGGACAGTGGTTTAAATTTCCGCACCCTCCTTGAGTACTTTCTACGAGGATGGCATCACCCGTAATTACCAACCACCTCCGAGCCCTTTTTCACAACCAGTCGTAGTCCTCCATGATCTTTTCTCGGCCATTAATCTTTTCTTCTGCACTGTTTATAAAACCCTGAAGCTCATTTTCATGGTAAGCAAGCTGTCTTCTTCTTCAATCTCTTTTCCTGAAAATTTTCAGAAAGCAAAAAGAAAAATCGGATAGTGAATTTAAATACCTGCATTGCAAAATATATCAGTAAAATTGTAATGCTCTGTGTCCTGATTTTTTTTTTTTCTTGGTGAGATTTAAGCTTGAATCTTTGATTATCATGGTCAGGTGTTTTTTTAGACTATATATATGTCTGAGAATGAAACTTCTTCTTTACTTTAATCGAAGGATAAGTCAGATCCTTAGATTCTTAGTTTGATTATTAAAATCTATCATCTTTCAACCTTTAGTGTTTAGTAATTAAATATGAAGCTTTCATAGGAATCCTTAAGATTTGCTCAGCTCCTTTATATTGAACTTTCATCAGCTTACATTTTCTGTTGATTAATGTTGTCTTCTATCAAGTTCTTTAAGTCTTTGATCATATAACTGCAGGTGAAGTATGACCTGTCCAAGAACTCAAAGATGATGATGATGTTATGACGCTCTGAATGTGATTCTGGTACAACCAATCAAGACACAGACGCAACAGGAGGTTAAGTAGATCATCTTAAGGTGTAAAAAAAATGGAAAAGAAAGTTACAAAGAGTGAAGAAAATATACCAAACTCTAATAATAAGTTGTCTCTGATAAGAGTGTTAAGAGGTATAACATGCCTGATGGTGTTGGTTTCAACAGCTTTTATGATGTTGATATTCTGGGGGTTCCTCTCAGCTGTAGTGTTGAGGCTTTTCAGTGTACACTATAGCCGTAAATGTGTTTCCTTCTTCTTTGGCTCGTGGCTCGCCTTGTGGCCATTTCTCTTTGAGAAGATAAACAGAACCAAAGTTGTTTTCTGTGGGGATAAGGTTCCTTGTGAGGAACGAGTATTGCTCATGGCAAATCACCGGACAGAAGTTGATTGGATGTACTTCTGGGATCTTGCGCTGCGTAAAGGCCAGATTGGTAATATGAAATATGTTCTCAAGAGCAGTTTGATGAAGTTACCTCTGTTTGGTTGGGCGTTTCACCTCTTCGAGTTTATTCCTGTTGAGCGGAAATGGGAAGTCGATGAAGCAAACTTGAGGCAGATGGTTTCGAGTTTTAAGGATCCACGAGATGCTTTATGGCTTGCTCTTTTCCCCGAGGGCACAGATTACACGTAAGTTCCATCTTCATTTGAGTGTTATTCTTGTTTAGAAACCCTTTTGGTTAAAGCATTTTACCATGAGCACTTTATGCAGAGAGGCTAAATGCGAAAGGAGTAAGAAATTTGCAGCTGCAAATGGCCTTCCTGTTCTGAACAACGTGCTGCTTCCCAGAACAAAAGGTTTCGTCTCCTGTTTGGAAGAATTGAGTTGCTCACTTGATGCAGGTTTGTTTATACTTTTGCTTGTTTGCATCAGTAAGATCCTATGCTTTTCCTTTACTCTTGAGGAAAGCAAACTTTTATGCAACTATTTGCACTTCTTGCAGTTTATGATGTGACCATCGGGTATAAAAACCGTTGCCCGTCTTTCTTAGACAATGTCTATGGTATTGAGCCATCAGAAGTTCACATCCACATCCGTCGTATCAACCTAACCCAAATCCCAAATAAAGAAAAGGAGATCAATGCTTGGTTAGTGAACACATTCCAGCTCAAAGACCAGCTGCTCAATGACTTCTACTCTCGTGGCCATTTCCCTAACGAAGGAACAGAAAAAGAGTTCAACACAACGAAGTACCTCATAAACTGCTTGGCAGTGATTGTCTTCACGATCATCTGTACGCATCTCACCTTCTTCTCGTCAATGATTTGGTTCAAGATCTATGTCTCTTTGGCCTGTGCCTACTTGACCTCTGCTACACATTTGAATCTTCGTGCTGTTCCACTTGTAGAGACTGCAAAAAGAGCCTTCAAATTAGTAAACAAATAAACTTTACTTTGTGTTTATTAATTCACATGATGGAATCATTTTTTTTTCTCTTTCACTTTTGTATTTTGGGGTTAATACTCAATCCCATTTCTACTTATGAAATATGAGTTTAAGCTGCAATATATGATCAGATTTATATTAGAATCTCTTCATATACATTTATCTACTCATGTTAGCTCATAGCTTGGCAGACAAAGAACACAAAATTGAACCATAAGACACATTTGGCTGCTACATAACTCATAGAGCCACTGCAGTTTCACCAAAAACAAGATAATATATCGATTATTCTCATGAAAAAATTGTCAAATTGGGATAGTACGTCCAAGAGATATCAAAAGTAAAAGACTTTACAAACTGTATTTATCAAGTTGCATATGAAAGCAATTAAATTTGAGCCCCCCGTTAAATTTGAGGCAACCAAAGAACGCCCGTGACAAGTAAGCACATTGGAACATAGTAATGCCAATGTTTCACGGGCCTTCTTACCTTGTAGTGTGTAATTGTATTATATTAAAGTATCATAAGACAACAAGGGAATATAGATTATAATACATGTATAGTATAGACCATCTTAGACATTCGATATTCCCCTACACATGCTTTTAAATAAATATGGATATTGAATAATATGCACAGGAGATTAGTTCAGAGATTAATCACAAGATTATTGTCTTGTATGATGCTAGGGACCCATGCTTTCATGTTAAAATCATAATTCTGTAGATCTAATCACACCAGTAACGTGCCTATCCTCTCTATATAAACCCTATGAAGTAGGTAGAGTAGCATATCCTAAGCTAAGAGAAGAGCCAACCTATCAAATAGTTGCAAAACAATTAGTGAGAAACCCTCAAAGTACTCAAATCCATGGAGCCAAACACTAAGCTTGTCGTTATTACCTTGGTTCTTGCCTTGACACTCACGGCAGCAACCGGAGAGTTATGCGGTATGAGCGTTGCTGATCTGTACTCTTGCAAGCCCTATGTGCAGACTAAGAACCCAGTGACCACCGCCATTGATCCTAAGGGCCCTTGCTGCACTGCCCTGTCTGAGGCCGACTTGCAGTGTCTCTGCAAGCAGAAAACCAAAATTAATCCCTTTCTCAGTGGGATCGACTTTGGCCTCGCTGCTAAACTCCCGGAGAAGTGTGGTTTATCTGGTCCAACTTGCTAGGATCAGTTTTCTGTTGAAAGGTTTCGCTTTGTGTTTTGATTTTCTTCATGAGTCCATGGTTCTTGTATTGGTTTCTGTGTTTGTTTGATGTTGTTTCAGTTGTTGTTGTCTTAACTGCATTGCGGTGTTGCTTGATTTATTCAAAATAATAAAACAAAACAAAACAAAAAATTAGTAAGAATGATTGCAGAAAGGAACATACAGTAGACAGTTCACTTCAACTCTAAAACATGTTACAGACCCGATGAGAGATGAATAAAGACCAGAGATACCAGATACCATTGGTACTCACATGACCTTGACGTCTTGGTTATGCTAAGTTTAAACTTATGAAGCCCTTCCACCAATGGAGAAAAACTTAGGATTTTTGTTTCCGAACCTTCAACTTTGCAATAACAGTCATATCAAGCTTGGGACATGTGAATATTCTACTACAATGCACAGAAAAATTGATACCTCTCTCTTAAATAGTGATTTCAGTTATTTCAGTCAAATCCTTGGTCACAAAATGTAGCATGGAATATATAGCTTCTGTTTTGAAATGAGAAATATCATAGGAAGTAAACATGTGAACTTGATTATCGATATATGCCCGGCTGCACCCAGAAAACTTTTCCAGCTCCTTCCCTCTCATACTATTCCGTATCCGTCTCATATCTTCCCAGCTACCAGACGAGGCATAAGCGTTAGCTAGTTGAACATAACGAGACCCGTTAGATCCTTCTATGGCTAACAATTTCTCTTCCACTTCCTTCACAAGTTCTGTCTTCTTATTAAAGTTACAAGCATTTAAAAACGCTCCAAGAATAACAGCATCTTCTTCAACTTGATCAATACCTTTCATAATTTCTATGGCTTTGTCCAACCTATTGGCCTTTCCATACAAATCGATCATGCAGGTATGGTGACCAACCTCGGGGGATATGTTATAAACCTCTATCATCGACTTGAAGTACTGCTCACCCTCTAAAACTAAGCCGCGGTGACGACAAGCTGATAGGAGGGCCATAAACGTTATTTCATCCGGCTTGAATCCACTCTTGGTCATGACTTCAAAGAGCTGGAAAGCTTTTGCTTCATGGCCATGGTGAGCACAACCAGCTATCATGGCGTTGTACATAATTGTATCTCTCTCGAAGCTACTGTCGAAGACCTTTTCAGCATACTCAACATTTCCGCATTTTGAATACATGTCAACAAATGCAGTAACAAGTTTCTTATCCGCCAAAATGCCTGTTCTCAAGCTGTGACCGTGAATCTCCTTCCCTGGTACCATAGAGGCTTGTAAAGAGCATGCACCAAGGATACTAACCATGACCAAAGAATCAGGAATTTTAGTCTCCTTGGCTATAAACTCACGTGCAAGTTCAAACACTGACTCAGGTTGCCCTAGATTGAGATATCCCAAGAACATTGCAGTCCAGACCACAATATTTTTTTCAGATAAAGAGTCAAATAACCTTTTTGCTTCCACCATCTTGCCCTGAGATGA